CATGAACAAGAGGGTCTGAGGACATACTGGACTGGATTTGCTTGAGAAAAGTTGAATCAACAGTCAGTGTTGATTTCACTGCTCGGAGATGAAATTGCTCCGGTTTCAAGAGGACCGTTCTTTGTTGCTCAAAAGCTGCATCTCCTTCTTTTGGTGCAAAATAAGAACGTCTAGATAGGGCATCGGACAAACCTTGTTGTTTTCCTGGCCGATAAGTGATAATGAACTCGAATCTTGACAAAGACATACTCCAACGAGCTTGACGACGGTTCAACACGCGTGCTGACATGAAATACTCGAGGTTCTTGTGATCTGTATACACAGTGACTGGACTAGAAGCACCTTCTAGATAATGACGCCATTCTTGAAAAGAATCCACGATTTCAAGAAGTTCTTTATCGTGGATCTCATAATTGATCTCGGCTGCTGAGAATTTTCTTGAATGAAAAGCTATCGGATGAAGTTTGTCATCTGTTCCCATTTGTGATAAAAATGCACCCAAGGCAAAATCCGATGCGTCTGTTTCCATAAAAAATACCTTGGTAAAGTCAACACGATATAAGACTGGTGCAGAGACAAACGATGTCTACAAGGCTTCAAATGCTGCTTCCGCTTCTTGATTCCATTGGAATTTATCTTTACTAGTCAAGCGTGTAAGTGGAGCTGCAACTCATGAGAAGTCTTTGATGAAGATCCGATAGTAATTGGCAAATCCCAAGAAACATTGGACATCTCTTACAGTCTTTGGAATCTTCCAATCCATGATTGTTTGGACTTTCTTAGAATCCATCATAAGACCATCATTTGAAATGATGTATCCTAAAAAGTCAACTTGAGTAGTGTGAAATGCACACTTTTCTATCTTGGCGTACAATCCTGCATCTCTAAGTTTTTGTAATACTTGACGAACATGTATTTCATGTTCTTCAACATTCTTAGAATAAATCAGGATATCGTCTAGGTAGCAGACGACAAAATTGTCTAAGAATTCACGAAATACATCATTCATGAGATGTTGAAAAGCAGCTGGTGCATTCGTGAGTCCAAAAGGCATGACATTGTATTCAAAGTGTCCGTACCTGGTTCGAAACGCAGTCTTCCATTCATCTCCTTCTTTGATCCGTACTAGATTATATGCTCCTCTTAGATCTATTTTTGTATAGATCTTAGCTTGATTTAACTGGTCAAGGAGTCTTGATATCAAAGGTAATGGATACCTGTTCTTGATTGTGATCTTGTTGAGTCCTCGATAGTCAACACACATTCGTAAAGATCCATCTTTTTTCTTTACGAATAAAATTGGAGCTCCTGCTGGAGATTTTGAATGGCGTATGAAATTCTTCGCTAAATTCTCGTCAATATATGTCTTGAGTTCAGCCAACTCATCTTGCGATAAACTGTAAATTGGTCCAAATGGTGGCTGAGTTCCTTCCTTGAGATCGATTGAACAATCGTATGGGCGATGCTCAGGAAGAATATCTGCATTCTTTTTCTCAAAAACGTCTTGATAATCTTGATATTGACTTGGAATGCCACTTGAAGTCTTTACGCTTTCAGAAATAGGTGCAGCATAAATAGCAAAAGTTGATCCTTCTTTTGCTGCGTGTATAAATGCTTTTGCACCTATAAGTGCGGGTTTTACTATACTAGACTCATGGTTTTTTACTTGATTAATAGAACTGTTACTAATGCTCCGAGGAAAATCAAGTTTACGAGAAATCCAATCTATTCGAGGATTATACTTTTCTAACCATGATAAGCCTAAAATTATTGGATTAGAGGGAGATCTAATTATATTAAAAATTACGCAACTACTATGACCATTTATTACTACATCTACAGGAAGTGTTTCGTGAGTTACATCTCCAGAAGACAAGGGACGACCATCTATGACTTCTACATGTACTGGTTTAGGTTTCTGTACAAAGGGTATTTTACGACTTTTAACAAATTGTTCATCTAAAAAACATGCTGAGGCTCCCGAATCTAATAAAGCAGAGGCTTTGTAATTCTTAGGTCCTAAATATAAGTCTATTATAAAACAAGGAGAGGGTTCTGAGGAGAGGATAGGACCTTCATTAGGAATTGTACGAGGTTCCAGCTGCACAGTCCCTATTGTAGCTGGACGAATCCATTTTTCGACATGTTGTCTTCTTTGACCGTCGTACCCCTCATTTTATAGTTGCGTCGTTTCTTTGGACAATGTTGAGCAGTGTGCTTAGGTTCTCCGCAATATAAACATAATCCTTCTTGACGACGACGAATCTTTTCTTGCTCAATTAGGGGTTTAAAACGTACCACGTCAATTTGCATGTCTTCTACTTCCGAATGTACGTTTGGCAAAGATGTTGATGTTGCCATTGAGTAATAACGTTGAGGTTTCCGTGAATGATTCTCGGATCGAAATTCAAAAAGTCGATTATCACATTTTACCGCAAAATCGATTGCTTGACTCAAAGTTTGAGGATCAAGTAAGTTGAGCATCAATTTCTTTACTTCGTATTGCAATCCATAAAGAAATTGACTGATGAGTGCAGCATCATCCCACTTGATGTCAATTGCAAGTTGTCGAAATTGTGAAGCATATACTGTTACTGAGCGATTTTCTTGTCGCAGAATTTAGATCTTATTTGTTGCAACACGAGTTGCATCGTGTTCACCATACATAGATCGAAACTCCGCCAAAAAAGCTTCCAAATTGTCCAATATTGGATTTTGTTGTTCAAGAAAAGACGAAAACCACGATAATACAGAACCAGAAAGTAGAGTGCCAATAAACCTGACTTGTGATCCTGGAGTTGGATAGCTTTGCGGTTGAAGTTCAATTGCCAATTGTACTTGATTGATGAACCCTCGAAACTTTAATCTCGTACCATCAAATTTCTCGGGTAAGGCAATTCTTGGTTCTCTAGTGCTTATAGGGTGTTGTACAATTGGAGAAGGAACGTGATTTATTGTAGATGTTGAAGCAGCTCCGATCATCTCTATATCCCCACTTTCTGCTATTCTTGTTCTTTCATGTGTTGGTGAATTGAGTTGATGCATCGCAAGCATTAACTCTCTCATTTGCTCTTGCATTTGTACCATTGCACTCTTCATTTCAACAAGCTCTGCCATAATGACACTAAGAAGAAAAATTTGTTTGATACTGCTCAAGATAAAAGAAAAGAAACACTTGATAACAAAGAAGATACTAAGAACAATATCAGTTTAGAAGTGGGTAATCCGCAAACTTCTAATACGCTTATGTCTTGTCAAGAGAAAGGGGTAATCCACTCTTACTCAAGAAAAACAAAGCTCTGATATTATAAGTACACTCTTGTCAATCTGTCAAGGACAAGAACTCGATGAAAAAACAGTTTAGACAAGTAAGCCTTCACTCAAAGAAAAGTAACAAAATATGAATAATAAGTATGTATATTGAAAAGAGAAACTAGAATGGCTATTGCCAAAAGACAAAAAAACTAGAGACCCTTGAAACTAGACTAGAAGCAAGAAAGGAGTTGACAAGAGTGAAGAAGCCTTCACTCTTGTCTCTATATATACTATCTAACTAGAGGCTACGTGGCGACGTTCTATAGGACCTCCAATATGTGTTGACTTTGTAGGACACATGCCTTGACTTACAAGGCAAGTTTTTCTACGTGTGGACCACATAGTTAGCTTGATCTTCAAGCTAACAACATGTGTGGCACATGGCCAACTTGTTGATCACGTTTCTAATCCAAAAAGTCAATTAAAGACACCTATGAAGTCAAAGCAGTGTCTAGGAAGTTTCTAAGAAGCTTCTATATTAAATATTATAGAATTAACTTACTTTTATCTACTTTTACTTACTTCTACCTATTTCTATATGTAATTATTAGCTTACATGATTATGGCCGTGACACTAAGTTGTCTCTATTAGCACTTATATTGTGTTGATGATCTTTGACATTATTAGATAGAGACAAAATAGACATAGAAGGTATTAGACAAGTATAATGACATGCAGTACCTTCTTTGTCTCTAATATTGGAATTGAGTCATTCATGCTTAGAATCACAACTCATATCATGAACTATAATGGCTAAGTGGAATGAACTTTGGATATATAAACAAAGGAAAAAACCTTGACTCTTTTTAGAATGCTTTGCTCAACATGCATATTATGTTATATTGAAATATTAACCTAAAGAATTGATAATAAGACCATAAGGTTGATAAGGCAAGAAAAGTGACACACAACATAGGCTTAAGGCAAAGCATGACATGACATAGTACAAGAGAGAGATGGGAGGTGCGACAAGAATATTGAATCAAGATTTATCTCTTGCTCTCTTTTAAACAAAAAAAAAAAAGTAGTTATTTTTGCAAGAAGTAAGAAATTAGGCGACTTCCATGATTGTAACAATAATGAAGATTAGGATAATAATGAATATAGTTGCTTTTAATTGATTGTGGATAATAATAGAATAATAGAAAATAATAGAAAAATAAATCTAAATATCTTTATTTTTGATGATGGTTAAGATAGGTGGGTCAATTTCATAAAACCCTAAGTCATTTTAACATTATACAAGAGTTGCATAACTACAACCACTCTCTAAAAAATAAAAAAATCTAGAACATAATTAAATCATAATTTTAGAATCTAAAACATAATTAGAACACAATTTTTTTCACATCTCAATCTAAAGTTTCACTTATGCAATAAACATACTGATATCTATCACCACTTATACACATGTATCTTAGTTGGTTATTAGAGCTGATGAAAAAGAAACCCTTGATATGTATATACAAACATTGGGCAGTGGGGAACTTGGGAGAAGATGGAATGGCTGGTAGAAAATGGCGCCGGACACTGACGATTCGAAATAATACGAGATGGCACTGGATAGGGGGACGACTCACACTTACAGAGGCCCAGCCCAGCCCGGCCAAATAATGGACACTGGGCCCCGTCGCCCAAACTCGCAGACTGGTCGTCGTCACTGCGTTGCAGCGTCGCACCTCGCCACAGCCATAGCCAAATCCCTGGTCTCGGAGCCCGTCCCCCCCTCCATTTCCCGTGCTCGCACGCTGCGTCGGCGGGTAGCGCATTGCGTCCTCGTTCCCTGCTCCGCATTCGCGACTCCGTCCGATCGCCTCCCACCTTCCTTGTAAGTTGAGACGTGCTCCCCTGCCTCCGCTTGCCTGGGTTGCGTGATCGTGCGTGGGAAGCTCACGTGCGAGCGCGGGATTCGTTGATTCTTTCTTTCAGGGTTTTGGGGCGACGGGGATTTGCATTCGACGTTGTGGGTCGTTGTTGGTACAAGGTGGGTCCGTGCCGGTCTTTCCTTTGGTGGTACGATTGTTTGCAGATTTGAACCCTGCTCCGTCACCCGGTTGGCGCACTCATCGTCGAGAATGGTTGAGTCACGTTTGTGCAGAATGCAGCAGCGTTTAGCTTCAGGTAGTTTGGACTGGCATTTGGAAGATGCTAGAAGAAGGCATTTTTTTTTCTTGCGGGGAGCTGTTCTATAGGTGCAACGTTCATCAGTTTAAGTGTTCAACCTTGGATTTCGTAGTTGTTGGTTTGTGGAAGTATATCTCGCTTGCAGTGTAGTGGATCTGCGTTTCAAATTTGTGAGCCATTGGTTCCAAAGCCTTATCGTCTCATCGCATGGTTAGGCACTTGCAAGACTTTGAGGTCTTTTAAATGCATCTAGCTTAGGCTGTCCTGCATGCGATTGTATTGATTTTTCCGTCGCTCAAGCAATTCTGACTTGCTTGCCAGATCTGAGTTCTACAAGTGAAATTACTTAACGAAGAGCTGCTCGTGGTTCATATGGCCAGATTGACGCGGAGGAAAAGTGCGTAGGGTTGACATGTGCAGACTTTAGGACTGGTGAGTTTTTCTGAATGACTTGCCTGCACATCTAAGAGGAAAATCTTTTCATTTATTCATTCATTCATGCATTTGTTTTTTCGTTCGAAAATCAACTCATTTCTTGGATCATTCTTTTTGTACTGGGTCAGGAATATACTTACAAATGTGATCTGCTTAAACTTTAAAGACTAGATGCATAACTATTTTAAAATTCGCAACCATCACTTGTGCAGATCTTTAAAAGGTCTTAACACGCATTGATTGAACTGGTTTTGTTTGCAATGGAGCAGGTGCGACGGCCAGGGTGGTAATTGTGATCACATTGTTTGTAATCCACAACAAAACATGGATATGTTCAGGAAAAGCGCCAATAAACTTCGCGAACAGGTTGTCAAGCAACAACATGCTGTTCTAAAGCAGTTAGGGGGGCATGGATCTGGCAGTGATGTGATCATCGATGAGGCTGAATCACAAAGGCACCAGCAACTTGAGAAGTTATACGCTTCTACCAGGGCTGCAAAACATTTCCAGAGAGAGTTGGTAAGAGGTGTCGAAGGGATTGTTAGTACAGGTAGCAAGCAACTAGAAGTTGCAAACAAGCTTGCAGACGAATGTAAAAAATATGGAACTGAGGGTGTAGGGGTGGGTGGTGCTCTTTCTAAAGCCTCTTTGCAATATGGCACGGCCAAAATCCAGATGGAGAAGGAGCGGGATTCTATGCACCGGGTCTTAAGCACGCAGGTGGCAGATCCTTTGAGGGCCATGGTCAATGGCGCACCTCTGGAAGATGCTAGGCAATTGACACAGCGTTATGACCGCTTACGTCAAGAAGCAGAAACTCAAGCCAGCGAGGTCAGCAAGAGGAGAACTAAAGATGCAGGTGGTCTCGAGAATGTCGTGAAGCTGCAAGTTGCTGAAACAAAGATGCAGGAACTCTCATCGTCAATGGCAGTTTTGGGAAAGGAAGCAGCATCTGCAATGACTGCTGTAGAAGCTCAACAGCAGCGTCTTACGCTGCAGCGCATCATTGCACTGGTACATGCCGAGCAGGCATATCATCAACGAGCTGCCGAGATACTGGACCAGCTTCAAGATCATTTAGTATCTGAACTGCAACACAGTGAGGCAAGCGTACCATCCTCTGGAACGACTGTCAAAACTCCTACTTTTGTGGATGCAGATATAGGCGATGCGGTTCAAACCAAACGCAGTCAAACAAGGAATTATTTCATTGCAGAAGTAACTCATCCGTTTGAGGCAGAGAGCCACGGGGAACTTTCATTATCCGTTGGAGATTTCGTTGTAGTGCGTCAAGTTGCTCCATCTGGTTGGTCGGAGGGAGAGTGCAAAGGTCAAGCAGGGTGGTTTCCTTCGTCGTATGTGGAAGCAAGGCAGCGGATGCCTGGGGACAAGGTTACTGAAGGGTTTTCTGGTGTGTAATTTCGTGGTGCGGTATCAATTTCTGGGGGAGCTGCATTCGATGGTCAAACTTGGATCATCTATCTTTTAGCTGAGTACCCTCTTTGAGTATCTTTATGGTGGCGATTGGCTGCTCTTGAGGTATAGAAGCCGACATGCTTCTCTTGACAGGTCTGAGTCTATTCAGTTTAATTTAGTTCACGTCAATTCTGAACTTCTGTCATAGTACAGGCGTCACTTATTGGAGTCTAGAAATGAATTCTGTACATGTGTTGGACAAGTCTGCAACCTCTCTTAAAACCAAGTGTTGCTACTCGTTTTTTTGTCTATCTTTCAGTGTGCGCGACCGTGGCTTACTCTTTGTTTTCCTGGAAATCTAACATCGTTGGTCGGATGGATCAAATTAGCAAATGCTGATTAAGTGACATAATTCAGAGACCACAACGATCAGATTGTTCAGAGACACCAGCGATGATACTGGGTATGTTTACATTCTTTTTGAACTAATGAACTCTGTATCTCCCAGCCTCAAACTCTTGAACTGTCTTTGGAATGGCATGGGCCAGATGGCGTTGTCTTTATGACAAAACGTCTCCCTGCTCCTCACACAACCACTTCCCTTACGCACCAAATTTTCATTTGCTTCCTTTGGTGGAACAGTACACAAGCGTAACAAGAGTTGAGTCACCGTTGCGTCGGGTATTCATACATTGAAATGGTATGCAATCAATACAAAAAAAGGTCTACATTGGATGCTGCGTGGAGCTATGACTTTCGTCTAATTTTGTCTCAATTACCGTAACCCTGAGCCACCATGCAATTCTCCCCTCGAAAACGCCAAAAGAATGGGATTCTTTTCAGTGACAAGAAGCCAGAAATTTATGAGTCGAAACCGCTTCCTTGTGAGGCAGTGCTGGACTTCGGATATTTGTTAGACCTGCGAAGACAAGTTGGAGTAAATCATTGGTCAGAGATTCGCTAATAGTAATGTTAATTCTCTGGGCTATGTCTATGAATAGATACGAGCTAAGTCGGTACAGCTAAGGGAATATCAATGTGGAGTGTAGTAAATTACGAAGCAGAAGACTTAGTTGAGAAGAACAGTTACTATTCAACTTATATCATGGGGATTGACTATGAAGTCTACCGTTCATGAATCTTCTATTATTCCGTAGCACTCCAAAGGAAGCCAAAGGCATCCAGTCGTATCAAAAGTAATCATACAATTCTCCCCTGAAGACCGAAATTGTAATACACTTAAACAATACACTCTATTCCATCAATGTATGTATGTGCAATCGAATCCGTAAACCCAAATTTGGTGTAGCTGTCAAGTCTTGGAACTTGGTTTGCAAGGATGGTCAGGGGCCAGGCACATTGTGGTCAGCTTCACATGCTTGAGTGCGCCCTCCCACATGCTCTGAAACACGTTTTGGTGGAAATCAACTAAGGATATACAGGCGATGTGATGCTCAGTACCAACACTCGATTGTGCCAAATATACACATAAACAGTGTGAACAATGTACCTCCTGAATCGCTTCTTTGGATCATAAAATAGATAGATGATTCCCTGTTTTCACGCTTGCAAATAGGACCACATATAAAAATAAAAATAAAAAGGTCACACAAAATGCTTGATCTGAAGGTACCCCATGAGATGTCCAATCTTGAGAATTGGTTGATAAGACCAAGTGGCAATGCCGATAACAGCAGATTGATCCAGCAGCATGTTTCTCATTCAGCTCTGAGAACTAGTTCACACAGCTTTTGTTGAGATTTAGATCGTAATAATCATCACCTCGTGACCTATAACCCCAAACACTGCCGCATGATACCTGTAATTTTCTGAGATTAGATAAAGCAAGGGTTTAGGGTCCCATTGAGGTCTTCAAGTGTCGATGTATACGACAGAAACTCGTATCATCAAAACTTACCTTTGTGCAGCAGAAATGAAACAGATAGGGCGAGTCTTTCATTTCAGTATCAAGAACATGGTTCACGATACCAGAAGGTTTTGTACAAGTTACAATGAATAAAAAGACGCCAGAATGAAATGGCAAGAGTTATAACAGCTTGATAAGTTATCGTTGCAGAACCCTGCTCAGTTGATAGCTGCAAAATTCTACGAGAGGATCAGAAAGAGCTCAGACTCGATCGCGATTACAGGAGTTGAGAGATTCACACCTACTGACATCAACTTTAATCTCAATGTGCCAGCAACATCAAAAGAATGATTGTGGAAGAGGATCACACATCAAGAACTAGTCTCAAAAAGTTAGCTGCTAGAGATTTATTTGAAAACTTGGTCTTACTTGTGACCCATCTTCCTTCTCATTCCAGCAAGTTAATGATCAGCTCACGGATGTCTGTGACAGTGCGTGTGAACTCGAGGAACATATTTGAGTGCTAGCCTTCCAGTTCAGTGCGTGTGTGGCAGTTGTTGCTGTTGAAGTTGCACGGGCTGCCTCCTACGATGAGATCGAACTCTCAGTACTTTCAACGAAAACTTTTAGTACCTTGCTTTTGAGGTTTTTCACATTATGATAAGTCTATCAAGGTTGATCTCTTCCTTGATAGACTTATCCTTGAGAAGTTGTACAGAGAAACCAGCCTCTACTTTCACAGTTAGCATAGGCAGCACGATCGTCGAGTCCAGTGTAATCGAGCCTCCACTTCGGGTACAAGCCATGTTATGGATGACCGCAATGCGCTCCTAAGTACTTTTGCAGATGGGTTCTTGCGGCTTCTTATGAATTTCCGGTGATTACATTTTGGGGCTCCCTACACTACGAAGCTAAAGCCACTTCTCTTAAGGTTCAGCACCTACATCTTCATCGCTCGAAACCACATCCTACAACATAGTTTAGGCCGGAGCATTATGTGTGAAAACTAAAAACCACGCTGCTCTTATGCACGACATAAGATCACCAACTGAACTTGTAACAACACCAGTTCCTCCTGGTGGCTTAACGAGGCTCATAAGTCGAAAAAAAGCAATTCTTGCATCGGACAGATGTTTTTCAACGCATGTCGCTCGAGAAATATCGAATTTTAGGGCATAAGTAACAATATCATTCAGATCTCCAAATTCTGCGGAACACAGTCGATCTCGGGCTAATTGACTTTACGTCGCAGATATCTTGTTTTATTGATCACTTCCTGATTCTAGCAGCGGTATGCAGGTTGAGAGGAGGAGAGAACGTGAGGTGATCTCTGTGGCGGAAACGAGAGGATTCAAATTTGTGGCAGAGGCTTATTGCTGAGTATGATCACAGCTGCATTCTCTAGATTGTGTAAGACTTACACTCTGCCGGTCTCCTCCGCTGCTCGATGCGAAGACCGCAATCTGCTCAAGTAACTGCAATTCATCAGCTCAACACACCCCCCACACATCATGCAAATGTCTCGTGATGCAATTCACGCAAGCTTGAGATATACGCACATATTGACGAGCTCCCACTCAGGCCTGCAGACATAATCCTCCACAACCCTGAAAGTCATCTCACATCGCTCACCTGGAACTCCAGACACCCCGCAATACAACGCAGTATCCATCATAAAACTAGAAAAACAGAAGAAAAAAAACCAAAAAAATCGAAAAACCAAACACTTACCTGGTCCAAGACTAGGCTTGTAATTACTCAGAGCGCCAAACCCAGGAAGCGAATGTTAAAGGTGCTGCCTTTGGCCCAGACCTACCGACACGATTAGCCGATATTATTATTGTTGAAACGATGCGGCATTTTCATGGGCTTTGAGTTGGACAGGATATGTGGTGAGCTCCTGGTAGAGAGCATGTCTTGTGGGATGGATGGATGGATGGATGGAACTATCCTAAATGGCTGTTCATCCCAATTGAGGAATTAGGTAGGTTCAAAGTTTTTTTTGGCTTGCTTGATTGTCTTGTGATTTTAGGGTTTTATATTTGATACCCAATAGAGGAAAAGAGGCACATGAATCATTATTTGCACTTGACATTGTTTCCAAAATCTCTTACTTTGTTTTGTTCTCACCTAATACAAGTATCATAAATAATTCTTCAAGGTTTCAACGATGTTTTAGGGTATATTAATAAATAAGAGTATGATCTAGTTCATTGCCTAAATGTCATGCTGTGGATGATTATTTAGAAGATGATTTCACCCACGTGACACATAGTACAAGTTCATTTGTTGTCTAATTATATCAATGGATTTTTATATGTTTGATTTAAAGAAATGGATTTGCATACAATCCTATGTTGTCTTTTGTTTATAATTACAAATCAAGTAAGATTAGATGTGCCTATTACTAATTCAATAATGGAAATTTACTTTTTTTACTAATGTAATCAAGTTAAATTTTATTTTAATATATGTATATACAAGCTTTTATTAATAAAATAATATGCACAAGTTTAATTATAAAAATACTTCAATTATATTGAAATGATTGAAGTTAACATCAAGTTGCTAATTGTAATTGAAAGTTAATATTAAATTTAAAAGCATAAAAAATATTGACTTATATAATTAAAGAAGTTTGATAATTTAAATAAATTTTATAAAATTACTAGTAAAAAACACATATATGGTTAATTCTTATTAGACAGTATGTAAACAGTTGATAACTAGTTGTACATCATGAACATTAGTCAACACATAGTTAAATAGCTATTGTAACCATCATAGCTGTGGTACCTTACTAAGCCATAATATAGCCTAAAAAGTAAAATACCCACATGTTAATAGTTGGACTAATTGTTAGTGTATTTCCACTAAAAATTTCATGTCATTAGACCATGGAATTATGTTATGTAAGATCTTGGGAAAGAGATTCATTTCTAGCAATTAGTTCTCTTAAAGCTTTTATGGTTGGGTAGGGAGCTCATTTGTGCTTGCTTCATTAAACTTCTATTCTAGCAATATACTTTCTCATATTTTATTACATCTTCATTATATTTAAAATCAATAAATTGAGTTTAAAAAAACATGATTATATTTTTATGAATATGTCATGTAATATAGATTTTACAGATTTTATTTTAAAACATAAAAATATCATAGTAATTATTTTTGGTTTTTAAGAAAAGTTCATGAATTTGGTCAATGATTTTTTTTTTCTTGAAATATATTATCAAAAAAAATAAAATTGTGGCAAATCTTATGAAATGTCACATAGATGAAGATATATTACAAATAGTACAGCTTGAGGGCATGCATAGTATGCATGTGATGTTGGTAATTGTATGTATATATATATATATATATATATATGATCTATAAAGACATATAATAATTAAATATTACATAAATATAGTACTTTTCTACTGTATATTATATAACACCATAATCAAAATAAATAAATCAAATCAGTTCTAATATATATATATATATATATATATACATACACTAAAATTTATTTATTTTTTTGTCAAAACTTATTGCAGAATTATCTTCAACTTAAATATACTAGAGAAAAATTACAAATGCATTAAATAATACTTGGTAGAAGACATTTGTGATATAATGTTAAGACTAATGCAAAAGTCAAAATTCAAAGTCAAATTTGTTCATATAACAAGTTTAAAAATCAAAATTTGAATATGTATTTTATAGAAATATTTATTCCATACGTAATCTTAAGAAACAATTCTACATTGTTACGTAAAAGTAGATCCCAATAATTGTACTCCAATCACTAAATCTTAATATAATTTGTTCATCTATTGTTGCTGGCATCAAATTCTACTTATGATCATTATATATTTTTAAATATGGCCTTGAAACACTTTCATTATGCTTAAATAGAAATGTGTAATTTAAAAAACTGAGAATACCTTTGAGATCCATCTGATTTTTCTTCTTCAATACAAATGATATCATAAGCCTGAGATTGCAACATACAAAGAGATCACGACCACAAAAAAATGACCATGTCCACAGTTTACAGCTATTGTTGTAGTTTATGTAAAATTAAATATTTAATAATGTTTCTAATAGAATGAAGGAATATATTGAAATCAAGATCAACAGCTAATAATAGAAGTAGTAAAGTAAGTGACAATATTGAACCAAGAGCAAACCTATTAGTATTTTCTTTTTAGGATAATAGACTTCTGTAGATCTTAGTCTGCAAAATGACATCAAAGTTTTCGAAATATATTTTTAGATGTGAAAGGAACAAAATAAGAGATAAAAGATATTCTCAGAAGATATACATGACAAAGCAGAATAAAAGTGTGTTTTTTCTCAATCAACACCTCCAACATAGAAAAAGAATAAACACAATAAAGTCGATGAAAATCTTCCCACACCTATCCCAAAATTGAGGCAACTTATCAATGAGCATAAAATTCAAGCTTGTTCGTGTCAATAAGGACAGAATCCTCACAAACAGGTGCCTCACAAACAGTGGAAATTGAAGCTCAAACCTGAGGCTGGCCTGTCACATGCATCAATACTGAAGGAGCTGATTCACCAAAAATAAATAAATAAATAAATAAATAAACTTACACAGGTTGAATGCAATAGCTTAAAAATAACCAACAAAGAATTTCGTGTCTTGTCCGGTTGTTCTACAGTTGAGTCAAGTGTATCGATGCTCGTTTTTCTTGTGATAGTTTTTCCATGAGGAGACGATGATGCATGAGGCATTTTGGGATCTTGATACGGTCAAACACGAGGGTGCACTATGACAGAAGTTTCAACTGATTGTGAGATTTCTATGTCGACAACGGGATGAAGAAGATTGAGAGCACAGTGGTATTATCTTGCTATGGAATCCGACGACTTTGAACGAGGTCGTGTGACGTCAGTAGTGGATATATTATGTTTTTTCTCCTTTTGTTTATTTTTAACATGAGAATTAGGCTGAAAAGAATTTGAGAATGTTGAAAAGTCCCTTGAAATTGCAACCCAGGTTGAAATCGAGCCATCTCGAAGTGCATATCCCACCAAGTTAACAGACACCAGGCATGAACCGTGGGCACGCTTATCAGTTGGGGCATTCAGAACACTTTCCTGCAGGACAAATCAGCGTCGTACCGAACTTTGTTACGGAAGCTTTCCTTCCAGAACCAGCTTTCTGCCATACGGTCAAAAGTGTTGGCACCCTCAAGGTCTGCCCCTTCCATTCTCTACTTCCCTGTCTCTGGAAGCGCACCAAACCCTGGAAAAACCCTATCGAAATGTAACTACTTATCAGCTTCCCTCACAATCCGCCCACCTTCGCGTCCGCACTCCGCAACTGATTGGATCAGAGTAAAGACAGAAAGGAACCTCTTTCTCGCGTGAATGAGTTAGACTACCTTTTTCTGGAGATAATTACACCGCCATTAGGACAGTATTGCCACCTTGTATTAAGCAGCTTGGCTCCACAATGGGTTTAAGACTCAGTCGGTATTGTAGAAAATGACCATAAAGTTTGTCAGCTCAGATCCTTCTGGTCCATCTACCTAAAAGGCAAAGTAGAGGCTCTGAGGTGACAACTCACAAAAGCAACGCGTGGTGTAGAACGGTTGGGCTCAGCGCCCGAAGTCGGGGATTCCATAGAACTTGCGCTGGGAGAACTGAATACTTGAATTAATGTGTTGAGAAACGTGGATAATGTTATGGTGCTGAATGAAAGATGTTTGATAGGCACGTTTTACAGACAGTCGTTGACTTTACAGAGAACATACACCCGTTGTTCAACATTCAAATCTGCTCCAGTGTTTTGATTTTACTCTCTGATCAGTAACATGATACAGGAAGTAATTGGGTCATTGGTAGAGATTGCAGCTACTACGCAAATAAACCTTCATTGCTGAATGGTTGCTGCTAAATTACACTACTAATGTACAAGCTGGTGGACTGCATCTCAGGCAGCCGTGAAAGCACTCCCCTCAGAACGTTGAGGATGGCCAGGATTACGTCATAGGAATAAGGCAACACTACAACATCTAACACTCCTGAATATGAACTACTCAATGGAATGGGGAAAGACATAGCCCAGTCGAATAATCATAGAGGACAAGGCTTGGCATCATTGGAAGGATCCCTAAATGACTGCTACTTCACCTGCTACTAGCTACAAAATCGTGAAGCCCACTCTTTTACCTGAAAGTATCTGACGATGAGTTTGTCCTATCACTGCATGGATCGGGATAGGTCAACCCTGATCTCGAATTTGAAAGAACTGCACCTTTGCCAAGATGCATTTGCACAAATGGAATTATTGCTGAAAGCAAAGCACCTGGACATTCTTCATGCGGCAAATGTCCACAATTGGGTATTGCCACAAACCTCTGTAGAACACCAGGAAACCAGTCAAGATCGAACTGAAGTGGGAGATTTATAAAATGAAGGGTATCCTACCACAGTACTACGCAAAAAACCACGCGACGACAACGAACATGTCATGGAACATACCGAGCTTGGAAGCTGAGATGTCAAAGACTGGGCAGATTTTATGGGCACCATATTGTCTTGGATCCCTACCACAACCAAAGCAGGCAGATTTTCTACGCATCGCACTAACTCAGCTGCACTTGAGGTGGGCAACCCCATGGTGGCCTTGCTGACCTCTGACAGGGCCTTATCCCAATTTTCAACGCGCAGTGGGGCCTGCAACAAAAAATCAAAACTACAATTAACAAGATGACTCAACCAACAAGATATCACCCAAAAGGTTCGACAAATTGAAAAGTGGTTTTAAAAGGTCGGTCAATGCGCTACGAGAATCACTCAGAAAAACAGGTCTAACCTTATAGAGATCTATAGTTTCTGAAGTAAGCTTCGATGCATCATGCCAGGCACGGCGAGTGGTAACTTGCGCGATTTCTGATCGCAGAAGCGACCTCAGCATGTGACGCCCGAGGGTTGTATGCAACAAAACTCGAGCAAAGGATGGAACAACCTCTCTTGCAAGACTGACGCCCACCAGAACCAATCCCTTCACTTCCACCTGCGGATTCATAACATGAGAAACATGAGAAAGAACCATTACAGCTTTCTGATGATGATGCTGTTAAAATTTAATTTTCGTCTCTAACTTACAGTATGGATAGCTAGGTAGAGAACCCAAAACAAGCGAGAACGTAAGAGAATGTGTTTAAATTGGTCTTTCGAATCAAACCTGCGTGGAATCTCTCGACTTCGAAGACTGAGCAGCAGCCATCAGCGCAAGCAAGCCACCGTCAGAATGACCAACTAGGATGACCGAGGTGAGCCCCAACTCCTTGCAGAAGGCATTGAGCAATTCAACCTGGATGCAGAATGAAATATTACGTAAGAAACGTGGCCTGCTTTCAAGGTTCAAGTCAGATGGAACATTCCTGGTGAGAGAAGAGTACGCTGCATTCACAAGGAGCAACTTGAATACCTGTGTCTGTAATTCGTAGGGATTCGGTAGTCCTTTCGGCTCCCACTCAGTTCTTCGAGGGCGAGTGGTCAATCCCCATCCAGGTCGATCAAAGGCCACAACCATACAACCAACCTCCCTAGCAACGGTGCCCATGACGTGCCTCCATGAAAATACCCCACCACCAAAACCATGAATAAAAACAACCGCAGATTTTTTCCCGTGGAAGTCGTTATTCACATTGCTTGTTGGGGTGGAGGGCATAACTACTGGCGCATTATGAGTCTGCTGCATGATCGCGGGCCATCCATTCAGCGCTGGTCCAGCGTTCGACCATGATGAGGATCTGGATGTTGAAAAGTTGTTTTCACCTGCATAACCGCTCAAAAGCGGTGTATGCAGAGGTCCACTAATAGAAGTCCAGATGAGAGGGTTCCGGATGGACGAATAACTGGGTGAGTTTTTAGAAGAACTCCGTGTGTACTGAGACACTTCATGTGCTTCGTAACTATTGCCCAAGGGAATTTGACTAAATGCACTGCCATCGATAAATTTATAATGTACAACAAGCCCTTTCACATCCACAAATTGACTATCGTAATCTGCAAGTAGATGAGCTGGCAAATCATTGTCATCTTCCTGCGGTGACTTCGGGGACATATTGCTCTCCAAATCAGTTCTCCGGAGAAATTTGGGAGAGGAGACTCGAGAAATACGCTGGTACCCGTTCATTGAGAGTTTGCTGGTCGAGACCTGTTGGAGACACAGCATGACAATCAGAACCTATATTTAAGGGATAGGTGTACAAGACGCGCACACTTCCTTGTTTCTATTAAGACAAGCACCTGTAACTGTGTCACTGGGAAGAGACTCGGAAATAACAAAAACCCTGCACAACTATCAAAATAGAAGAGTTTACAACCGTTACTTACCCCATCCAAATCAATCTTGTCGAAACACAGCTTGCGACGAGCCTGACACCTTGCCTTACAAGCTACGAAAATGTGCAATAATGCGAATACAGCTGATGATACCAAGAGCAACGGAAGTCCCATTTTGTGTCCTCTTTCGCCTACTGACATAGGAGCTCCTGTAGAGGCATAGAAGTTTTCGTACATAGAGGCCTTGACTGACAGAAACACGGTGGTACCAATCCCCGAAACGATAGCGATTCCCAAGTAAGGACCATGGCAGAGGCTTGGAACACCGCAAACGGCATACGCGCCTGCAATTCAACTTGAGCGTGAGAAAGAGTCACATTGAACATGCGAGGAGAATGCAAATGGAAACTCAAAATGATACAGATCAAGCAACATGAATATTAAAAGGGATACGGGGTTGAGCGCACAGAGAGGGATGCTTACACAGAGCAGCGAGGGAACGACCCAATGATAGGAGAGGGATGTCGACAAGAGAACCCCTAAAACTGTACGTTGCCCAGTCAGCTCGGAATGAAAAGCAAGACGAACAGCAGGTGAAAGCGGAGAAGACGATGCTGATATCCAAGATGGACACGAGAATGGGACCAGATGACACGAGCAGTGATCCGAACATGCTTACAAGGAAGAACAGCGTCCTTCCAGTTCTTTTGAGACTATCCAAGCTGCTCCTTCCCGAACCCATAATGGCAGACCTCCACGGGGCTCCTGAGAATCAATCGATGACACAAGTTGTGCTAATTTTTTGCACTTCAATAAATTCTTGCAATCGCAGCTCCACATACAGAAGATTCGCTTCAGCAAAAAACAATTTAGCAGGGACTATAACCATTCGTGATCAGGCTTAGATCTCTGATTTTTCACTGCCGTGAAGCCGAGCATGAAGCGCAGCGAGTGAAATACAAAGATTCCGCCCAATTCAATGGCACGGATACTGCTCCAACGATCGTAATCGATACACCGACGTGCACCCTGCACCCAGTCAAGTATCATCAATTTCACATCCACGAGTGGAGACAAAACGATAAAAAATAAAATAAAATAAAAACACACGCCTAATAGGGTTCTTTCTCTAGCTGTCCTCCAGCTGTAGGAGATTTTAACTAAATCAGCCCTTGCGCACTCGTAATCGAATACTGCTCCAGTTCACCTTGCGAACTTAGTGCCAGATCAGAGCTTCCCATTCAGATGCGGCACGTTGTGTAAGAAATATAAAAAAATGAGCCTGAATTTAATGCCAAGCGAATCATCCAAGCACGGCGCACCAACGTCGATTAAGATTTAGGAATCAACTAGGCCCGAGGATTTTGAATTTAACAATTTCTCGAAACTCCTGGGCTAATATAAGACTTTCCTGGACAGGAACACAGACTAGAAAATGGCCCCTTACACTGCTTTCGAAAGGACACAGCCAGCTGGCGAAACATGAGAAGTTCACGCCTATCAGCATTCACTCACTTCGCATCTGCACTATAATCTATCGTATTAAACCACTTCTAATCTAACTACTAATAACCAACTATTCCTGTGTAAGGCCATAGCCAATTTTCAGGTGCGCATGACAACACCAGAAAGTAACTCCTAAAAATCTCGGATGACGAAATCAAAAAAATCGAAACTTCTATGAAAATCGCTCATACACGTTAGCTTCTATCAGAACAACCAACTGCAACTACACCTACGATGACATTAAAGGTGTACATCTCCCACCCCGTACGAGTATTGGCATAAAATCTAAGCACTTCGAAACAGTAGCATCTGAGAAGCGCAAACAAAAACCCTCCTGAATACCGAAAGAGGACTATCAGTGCATCCCTACCGAAACTCTCACTATCATCTCACAGAATCTCTGTGAGTAAGGACTAGACCCAGCTCGTTCTGAAATGACCGACCAAATTTGTAATACGAATTGGCCATGATTAAGGGAAACCACCCCAACAAAACCAAGTAAACGGATGCACACCTGCAATAAACAGCCGATCCCACCCTCTTCGTAATTACATTACGCGGGCTTCAGCAGCAGTTGCTTCATCGCATCACAACACGTCTCTCGGAACGCACGAAGAAGGAGAAACTCCTCAACACAGGAGTTAGTCTCCTTGCCTCCATACACGCTCTCCCAGTCCAGCTTCCGACAGGATGTGACCTCCACCTACCGAGAAGCTCCTTGCTCACACGTACGGAAATTGAGAAGCTCCGAGGCTCCCACCTCCACCCGCCAACACGGCTCCTTCCGGTTCGGAGAACAATACTTCTAGCGACAAACGAAGAGTCGACGGGAGGGCGCAACTGGCCCGAACCCTCTCAAGGAAAGTCGTTCGTCACCAAAGGAATCAATGAATTCACAACCAATCCCAATGGAATTCTTGCGTACATCACACTCTCGTGGCGAGACGCACAGAGCCAGCTTGAACACAAGCTATTGAGTCTCTTCCTCACCAATCCTCCTGGCGCCTTGCTTTGCTGCTGGATCTGCGTGGGGGGGGGGGGGGGGGGGGGAACAAGTTCGTCAGAAAAGCCTCCCGTCACTCATTCCAGAGTAATCCATACATGAAACCAGCACACGAAGCTTCTAAAATTCCCTTGACACTTGCACACCCGTAGGTTCAGGAGCTGTATGCGACATGACCACAGCAGCACCCGAAATAGACCGCCTCCCAACCTACAGGTGACGTTTTCATCCCTGCCTCTGCGAGTAAACTATTTAACAAAACCCCCCCCGCCGGTTACTAGGCTCTCTCCCACCCCTACTCGACTAACAGTTTTATATTCTAGAAGAGGGGGGACCCTCGAAGATGAATTCCAGCTCTACCCCAGCTCTCTCTCTCGTTCGGATTCTATTTCTTGCCCTAATCACGCACATGCCGCTGTTGATCACCAGTCCCCAGATTCCATCACCCAACCAGCGCACAAACAAGTTCTCATAAATACAGATCGATCATTTAACAATCCCTCTTGCTCTCTCTCTCGCTCTCTCGCTCACTCGCTCGCTCGCTCTGACCTGCACTCACGTTTCATGAGACCCCACAGCTACCAGGCGCTGCGATTATCCGTTCCTAACCAAGGAACCCAGAAATGAGAAGAGGGTACTGAACAGGGAAACGGTGAAAGTAAATGGCACTAGAGGTGAAGATCCGAGCGCGGTGAAAGGGGTGAGCAGTGTAAGTGACGCCGTGGTGGCGGGGGGGAGAAAGACAAGCTGACAACCTGGAAGCACGCGACTGACACGAGCCACGGCGTCAGGATAACTTGACCAGTTTTGCTCTGACGGCTGTAGGATAAGTAAATTCAACGGCCCTCTCGGAAAACGCCTCTCGAAACAATGCTGCTGCTTCCTGATGCTGCGTGCTGCCACAGAGCTGGTCCTCCTCGCATCGGAATCAGCGACATGACATATCAGTTCGTGCGATTGCAGATTCATCCACAAGCAGTGCACCGAAAAAAATCATGGAGCAAAGTTCGTGGCGCGTCTGGGCACCGGCAGCCTGCCTACCCATGACTGCGGCGGCAGAAAGGGGGTGGACATGGCCCCCTGCCCGGCCCGGCCCGGCCCGGCCCTGCTCCCCACCCGCACTGTTGCACCCACTCAGGGGTTTCCATTGCGTGCCCGCTGCAGAGCTCACCCGCGGGAGCGCCGCACGATGCCATCTGTCCGAATCCCGCCACGTTTCAAAAACCACTGGAAAGATGAGGCAGACCCATTGTGTGTGTGTGTGTGTATGTCACTCTCCACAACTGTAATCTATATGTTTATGTTAAATGTTGAAATTGAGTTGTACAATTGGCTGCGTTGGATGGAAGTTCAATGATCTGATTTTAAAATATTATATTCTATTTAATGTGATTGATTTCCAATACATTTGATACTACAAACACAATAGTGTTTTTGTATATTAACAAGTTACATGCTTTGAATTAAATTTGTTAGGAATACATCCAACTACAACACAACATCTAAGTTAGTATATAATTTTTGCACAAAATTATAAAATAATTTTAAACATTGTGTTTGTCAGGATGTGTATGAAAATTTGAAATTATTTAAATAATTTCATACATAGGTTACATTATAAATAACATCATATATTTATATATACATTTTGTAAAGACTATATTCTATGCTTATCAATCAATTTTTTTATATTACCTTTAAGATATACAATAACATTGTTGTTTGTAAGTAGATTAAATACAAAAATATATGTGTATACAATAAATTGCTTTACACAAGGACCAAATGTAACTGAAGCAATCAGTGCCGGTGGAAATATGTTTGCTTATATGCATGAATTTTAAAAATATGAGATTTCAATAGATAATTAAGGTTTTCTGTAAAATACAAAGTTTTTTGTGGATAAAATGGGGATGTAGCATAAATTTACATGTATGTTCACATGTATGTTCATAAAAATGTTTTATTAAATGAGTTACTCAAAGTTGTACCCATGTATTTTTCCTATGTATTGAAGTAGTTTATACAGCATGCACTATTTACATATTTAAAAGAAGATTTCTAATTCTTGCAATTTGTTTTTTGATGTATTCAGATGTGGTGTGTCTTTGTCCATGGACTGGTCATAATCTTAATCTTTGATAATTAAAAGAATATCCCAAGATGAAAAAACCAAATTAAAAAAAATAGATTTTGATTTTGAAATGATACAATTTGAAATTTGAAATTACAAAAATATAATTAATATTGAAAAAAATCATATTTATCACAAATTATATGCATGCTCATCACAAAGATACTATAAGTTTTTCCTTTTTAAAACTTAAAATATATATATATATATATATATATATATATATATATTGTCATAATACTATGATAGTATTTAATCTATTAGAAAAAGAAAGTCCAGTGTTATTTATTTACTTATTTTAGTTTTAATTTGATATTACTTTAAAAGACTTGTCTCATTGATTGAGAATGTTTATTTATTTATTTATTCTAGAGTTATCAACAAAATAAAGTAATAAAAAAATAATTACACATGTTTTGTTCAAAAGAGAGTGTATTAATTTATAAATATATTGTTCTTTAATTGATAAATTTTCATATTTTGTATTTTTTAAATTATATAAAATTTTATTCAAAACATCAATTATGTAATATTAATAATACATATAATCTATAAGTTAGTATTATATAAAAGGTATTGCTAATGCCACCATACTTTTTGTTATTGCCACCACAATCCACCACCTACAATCAAAAAAGATTCTAAATATTTTTAAAAATAATTATATAGAAGATAAATCAAATTAAAAATTAATAAAAATAAGTTGTGGTAGCAATAGCAAAAATTGTGGTCATGTTAGCAACATCCTATAGAAAATATTTGAATAAGTATTAAATATACTTAGATTATTATATTGTTTATTGACTTAAATTTAAAAATACATGCTAAAATTGAGTTATGGTTTATTAATCCAATTATGCCACATTTAACAGCTTTTACAAAAATAGCTTAATTTTGGAATGATGTTTAGGAATTTCAATATAAGTTCATAGGAGATTTTTCAAGTTTTTGAAGGCAAGAAAAAAGAATTTTCAATTTCATGCACATTGGAGGATATTCAAAAAAATAATGTGTCAAAGGCTTTCTCTAATCCACCAAAAAAATAAAAAACAAAAATAAAAACAAAAACAAACAAAACTCTTTACTTAGTTCATTTCTAGGATTTGTAGTTTTTAAAAGTTAACTCAATCTAGAAGTGATTAAATGTGACACAATTGCACGAGATATTTTTATTATATTATTGTAATGCTTGTAAAATATGATTACATTAAATATTGCATATAATCCCTTATTGAAAACTATTAAACATTTAATTGTAAATACAAATTTTAATTAAAGTATTGATACAAACATCCTTAATACATATATTTTATGTAAAATTATATTATTGTATTTAAATTAAGATATTTTTCTAGAACTAAAAAGAGAAATTTTAAAGCAAAATCATAAATCAAATTTTATTTAATTGAAAATAATAATAATAATAATAATAATTCAATAAAGATACAAATAACAACTACTTAAATAATAAATTATAAAATTAACTTTTGTGGACATAATAATCAAAAACACAATCCCTCAAGTAGTAGACGATTAGGCCATTCAGAGAGATTCGTGGGGGTTCACTTACTGCAAACCCTAATCCACCCCTGACAGAACCCTAAGTGCGTCGTGAATAAATTGTTCCAGGGAATGCGATGGCGCAATGGCGATGGCGAATCCAAGCAAACCAAGGCCAGGTGGAGGTTGCGGACACGAAGACGACCGCGGTGGCGACCGAAGACACGCGACGAGCTGTCGTGAGAAGCAGAGCCCAGAGGACCAGGTCCAGGCTGCCGGCACCGAAGCCACGACTAAGAAGATTCTGAGCGCGAGCAGAATGTTGGCCAACAAGACCTGAGCCTGGGGGTCAGTCAGACTTGGATGATTCGACAGGCGGACAAGGCCTCCTCCGTTGCTGCTGCTGCTTAATTTGGCTCGTCTCTCTCGCTGGAGGAAAAGGAGCCTCACTGCGAAGTTTCGTCTCCGCCGTCAGGTCAAACACCTCACATTCACACTTGCTCCCCTTCCGCGGCTCAGATCATCTCAAGCACGGCCAAGGAAGGACCTCCTTCGTCGCGCCGGCTCTCGCTTCCGGCTTCCGAAGCCATTCCTTCTTATCTGTGGAGTGGCTGGGTCCTTGAATGCACAGCATCCGCAATGCCGTAACAAATATCTGCTTCTAGTGGTTCAAAGGTTCTGAAGTAAACACTTGAAAAAACAAAATTTTATTGAGGAGAAAACAATAATACAAATTAGGGTTCCGAAACTCATCGAATTGGGTAGAGTTCGGTGTCTCGATCAGCTGGTTTTGCGGTGTTTGGAATCATCGGATGACGCAACTTTTATCTTTTGCTTTAAAGTTGGATTTTCATTTTATTTTATTTTTGCATTGAAAACCATTCTCTAAACAACTTGTTGTTTTATTAGTTGAATGGAAGAATCTTTCATGTCAACTTGTTACAATACACATCAGATTGTTATTTTATTTGTTGAATGGCAGGTCCTTGCAATGTCTAGTTGTAACCTGTCCAGTATATACTTTTTTCTAAGAGATTCTAACGTGGTTGCAATCAGTTTTTTTAAGTTTCAATGTCAGGTTCACATAAATGTTTTGATTTATTAACAAATCATATATATATATATATATATATGCACTTGTAAAGTTGTAAAGTATCATTACATGCAATCCTGTCTTGATTTGTGAAATTAATTATCCATGGTTTACTACAAATGATCAACTGAATAAATGAATCTTCTTTCATGATATTATAGGTGTTACTCTTTAAACATCAGTTTTATTAATGAATGAGCATTAACTCATTATTTGGTTCTGTTGATGTGTGGAGTTGTTGATTATTTTTGACATAACAATATGTAAAAATATTTATTGCAATGAAGGGTTTTATATGGAATGTAGGTTTTTGTTTTATTAAAAATAAAATAAATTTGAAGTTTGTTTCATTGTTAAAAAAGGTTTAAACAAGTGAAAAGTAACTAATACCTAGAAAATAAGTTATTAATTTGATTTTTTATTGACTTTAAAAAACAATGAATTTCACCAAATAGAAATCGTCTGGCTTTACCAAAAAAAACCTACATTATATGTAAGATTTTTTGGATAAAATCAGAGAATGAAAAGCTCATGAATAATATTAGAGTGTTAACATGAATACAAATTTTTTTAATTCTTAAAACAACATGTGAGTGAAATCTTTATTTTTACTTTGTATAATCAGAGAAAAATAAAGGAAAAACTTGTGTTGCCTATTACAGGATTCTTTTGTGTTAACTTAAGTCCATAATTCACTTAAAATAAATTAATAATGTGAAATTTATATTACTTTCACTTCATTAATTTACATCAAAGATAGATCTTAAATCTGAGATACGTGTTTTAGTCATGAACCATTACAAAGACATGTTACGAATTTAAATGTACGAGTAATTTGTAAAAATAAATTTATTGATTTTTTTAAAATAACAAAACATATATTTTATTC